CNAATTTTTTTTTTCAATTTTAAACAAAAGATAAACATAATCGGATGAAAAAAAAAAGAAGTCAAATATACTGCTAAAATAAAAATCTATTTTCTCTAATCAAAAGGAACTTGAATTTATCTGATATGGAAGGAATCTCATCCAAAATATATTGAACTCATCCAAAACATACTGAATTTCGGAATGAAAAAATTTCAAATGTTCGAAAAAATTTCAAACAAAATTTTAGGAGGGAAAAAATGATTTGAGCGGTAAAATGAAATAATTTTTCAAACATTTTTTCTTCTCTCTATTATATAGTAATAGATGTTATTTATTTTCAACCAATAATAATATAAAATATAGCATTACTAAATATTTTTTTCTTATATAAATAATTTGATAAAATGGAAAAAATAATGTTAGGTTAAAACGAATTATTAATTTTTCTAAAATAAAAAATGCACATAAAAAATTACCCGATCAATAGACGAAATAATAATGTTAGACAAAATGCACATTATTGTCTGTGGGAATGCACATAATAGATTCCGATATTTTAGTAAATGTCATTTCAACCAAAAATAACATAAAATATTAAATATTAATATAAAATACTACATATAATTTTAATATAAATAATAATTATTCGATTACTTAGGGTAATTCGGTTAACCAACCGAACAAACCAAATAATTTGGCTCAATTTTAGTTTGGATTGAAATAAATAATTAACAACGTCAAGTACACTGTAATGTTAGATGGATTGCACATTAATGACTATCATATTTCACAAGAGATACCGAAACAACTCAAATTTTCGGTTCAAAATTTTATATTTCGGTTTGATTTTTTGTCTTTAATTTTAAAATCACGGTTATTTCAGTTCAATTTCATATTTATTTTTAAAATAACAGAAATAAACTGGAATGACCGAACTATATAAAAAAACATTATTATTTTTTATACATTTTTCATGCATTGAGATTGCACGTTCGGGTTATACGAATTGCACGTTAAATTATTATTATATTGCACAATATCTAACAACATGATGGAACAAATTTTTCAATTCGATATTTTAAATTTCAATTCAATTGTCAATTTTTTTTTTTTTTTTTTCCTATTATTATTATTATTATTATTATTATTATTATTATTATTATTATTATTATTATTATTATTATATTTTTTTGTAAAAATATTACTAGTTTCAGCTAAAAAAGTTTATAAATATTAAATAGTAAATGAAAATATTTAAAATAATAATTATAGTTTGGTTAATTACAAATTGGACCATGACCTAAATTGTAATATACTAAAATTACTGAAATTGCAAATATATCCCTATAAGTTATTTAATTTTCAATAAAAGCCCCCCAAAACTACACCACCTCCCGTCACCCTCTCCAAACACCCCGGTCAAATTTTCACGGCACCGTTGTCGGAGTCGCAGTCGGCGTCGCCCTGGGGTTTACCTACCACCGTATTGGAGCTGACGGCGCCCGCTCTCTGAATCCATTGTCATCTCCTCATCCAAGTCGCTGTGGTTTACCTACCACCGTATTGGAGCTGACGGCGCCCGCTCTCCGAATCCATTGTCATCTCCTCATCAAAGTCGATGGCCATTGCCATCGCCTGAGAGGCAATGGCCATCGAGCTCTACCACCGCAGCCTATACCAAATGAAGATATCTGGTATACGCCGCCGCGGTCATGGTGTCTGTGCGGTGTCGTGACTTCTGACGGCGGTGGATGGGCTGATTCCAGTAGGGTGCATACTAACGGGTGGACCGCCGGTGATGGCGGAGAAAGGCAGGGAAGGCGTCATTAAGGCCAAAGCGCTTTAGAGATGGCCGGATCTATTCGACATGATGGTCGCCAGCTATGGCGGTCGACGGTGGTTGGCGGTAGGCGGAGGAAGGAGGGGTGTCGGCGACTGTAATTTACTGTGTGTTTGGTCGCATCCATCCTCGGTGATGGGTTGTTGCCGCAGCGAGCTGCAGAAGCGCGGCGGCGGATCTCCGCCACTGACGAGACGATGGGCCGGTTTCTGCGTGTGTGTGTGTGTGTGCACAGATGTGTGTGTGGAGAAGTGTGTGTGTGTGTGTGTGCGGGTGGCTGGTGAAATGTGAGTGACGAGTAGGTGGCAAGGGTGTAGGGTTTGTGTGAGGTGGTGGGTCCCACATGGTGTGTTTGATATAAATGTCTAAATTACCCTTAGTTAGTGGTGAAATCTATATATTTGACTATCATGTATCTATTTCTTTACCACATTGCCATTAATGATTGACCATTATTTATTAAAGGTTGACTTGATCATGACCATTGTTATGATGTACCCAATGATTCAGATTCATTCTTACTTCTTTCACTATCTACCATTTTCATATGATCCAACTCTCTCTCTCTCCCTCTCTCTCTCTCTCTCTCTATATATATATATATATATATGTATATAGATTTTTTAACAATCATTAGTATTTTGGATAGTGTGGATTCTAACAATCATAATATATAGGAATTTAAATAAATAATTTCTTTTATCATCACTTATTTATGCATTTGTCAGATTTTAAATAAATATTTTCTTTTATCATCACTTATTTATGCACATGTTAGGATTCATTACAATCCCAATAATCACTGTCTGTGCAGTCCCCGTGCAATGCTGAATATGAAGTTGAATGTAGAAATATGAACATGTGTTCATAAAAACGACCTATATACATCAAGAGCATAAGATAATTGATGTCATGCACAAAATATAAATATATCTCCTGTACATTAAAGTAGATGTTTTTAAATCTCAAACATTCCCAACAAGACATTTTAATCATACTTAAAAAAAGCAGCGACTCCCTAACATTCCTAGCATGACGACAGTTACTATATACATAAAACTAAGTGTCACACATAACATCCCTAGCATAACACTTACTATATACATAAAAAGAAGTCAAAAGAAGTGTCAGCTTGCACAGTATCCAGGTGTTGTTTGTTTGCCTGTTCCCCCTATATGCCCCACCGTAAATCTTCATGTTTGCCTACGTAATTTTTTATGCGAAAGATGAAAATGAGATATGATCATGATCATTTTTCACTTTTATTTTCTTTTTCCCTTGTTTTTTTTCTTCAAATGCAGATGACCCAGCACAATGTTGGAGCTTTGGTGGTGGTTAAACCAGGGGAGAAGAAGTTGATTGCAAGAATTATCACTGAAAGAGGTACATCAGTTTATTCTGAATAGCCGCTCCTAAGTTGCTTGCATTTTGGATTTTATCATCTTAATCTGTTAAGTTTCGGTGCCTTCAGTTTCCTTTATAATTTATAGAAATATCCTTAGCTAGGCAGTATAATGTCATAGATCAAGGTTAACTATACAAACACACAGATATAAAGAGAGGCATTCTAATCTAAAGAAACAATACAACATAGTTCTCTCAAGGAACTTCAATCAAAGGTAAAGCAAATTTAAAACTAAGTGGCATATCAGAGAAAACTAAAACAAGGAGCAGCAAGTTAAAAAAATAGTTAATCAACTTGGCAAGTTGTGTAGGATAAACAAGCATTTGAACAAACCTAGACTCCAACAATACAGTAAATGATAAGGAAAAAAGAGAAAGAAAAGAAGTATTTCGCATTTGCAATAAAATTGGAGAAGGAAATCTACTTATTTGTTTGCCTCGGTAAATATAAATATTGCACACATCGAGCATTTGTAATATGATACACACAACTGGAAACATATGTTGTATAAAGAAGACTGCTTACGTATATTAAAGTAAGCTACACATAATGTGTTGTGCAAATAAGACCCCCAAATATTTAAAGATTTTAATAGGGTTTCCTCAAAACTATGCCAACGCATACAGTAACACACATAAAATATATAATGCAACGAAAATCCTCTCCAGATCAATACATCGTTAACCTATAACCTCAGATTTATATATAATTTATTTTAGGAAGAGCCTTTATAGTACACTGTCCAAATCAACGACCAAGGACTTTAGCTTTAGCTCAACATATTCCAAAATGCTAGTAAAACAAATCAGAATGCTAGTAATACTAATGGATAAAGTGCTATGTGTTGTGAAAAATGTTTCATGATATCAAATATTTGTTAGCTTTCTACAATATAGAAACATGCATTATTTTCATTCTTTTTGTTCTATCTCCTTTTCCTCCATTTGACAGGTATATGTAAGAAAACAAGACACAGCAAAATAAGAAACCATTCAGACATTCTTTTTACTGAGTGAAACTAATATAATGTAGTACTTTATAGTTTACACATAAACTTGAGTATAACCAACTTTTTTTACTGGGTGAACCTAAAATATGCTCATCGTATTAGTTTTTAAGATGTGAAAGCCAACACATGCAACTATAATATAAATGTAATCCGTCTCAAAGAGATCCAACAATCAATAAATAACACGTTTGATAAATAAAATTAGAAGTACAAATCCAAAATGTTAGCCTTTCTATTGCAAGTTATATATATATATATATATAAAACATGAATAATATCATTGTATCATTGTCTTTTATTTTAAAATACAATCTATGGAAATACTTATAATAATAGATCATCCCATGTAATATATCAAAATTGACCCTTGCATACAAAACACAATTTGAAAGAAAAACTTGCTGGTATCTAACAACGAATCCTTCTGAACATGCACATTTTTTTTAATATTGTAATTTTATTGACAGTAAATAAAATTCAGATAAACCTTCATTAACGCCCGAAAAAAGAGTTAATAATCCATTGTCAACAGCAAAATCTTATATAAAAGGTTAAAAAAGAAAGAAAGAAAGACTAAATGGCGTGGTGATCAACAACAGAGTGACTGGATAACAACAATGAAAGTGATTAACCAGATAACATATAAGATCCTCTATTAAAAAATTCACTGCAAATGGCATAATCCTCTTATTGAAGAGTACAACGTGAGTCTATAGATCATGATTACAAAACACAAAAATGGAATGATACCAATTAAAATGAAACTCTCACCTTCAGATATATTTTTGCGCACAGGACATAGCACAGCGTCATGCGAGGTGTATAGTACTGGGCGGCTTTGGGTAGGGAACCACGTAGCAGGCTACCATCTTCCCAGCTGAGTTGAGGTCGTCGTCCTGGTTCAAGTGAAGCCAGAATATTTGTTTTGCTTTCTCCGATTTGCACCCGAGGCGTCTTTTGAGGTATGTGTGAGTTCTAGGGTATGCAATTGGGGACCAAAAATGAATTGGGAAAAATATCAATCGAGGAAGCAATGGGCTAGAAAAGAAAAAAAATCAAATAATATATTAAGGGCAAAAATGTCAATACAACCATGCCAATGCAACGTGTCAAAAACAGAAACAATCTGTGAAGAATAAAAATTTAATATTTTGTTTCAAACTCTTTTTTATATAAAAGATAAAAGATATAATGTAAATTAGGGAATAGGGATTAGGTTTGAGAAAAGAGAAATTTCTGTCCCTTTGCATCTCGCTCTCGCACAGCCACAACCGCACCATCCCTACTCACTCCATCACTCGTCGCCTCTCTCTCACAGTCGCTATCTCCGGCGGTCCGGCGTCTTAAGCCTCTCGACACAGTACACACTCGCGAAGTCCGACAAAGCCTCTTCTTCGCACCTCGACCGCTCGACGCCTCACCTCCGAAGTCCGACCCAAAAGCTCCGGCCGCTCCTCGCCTTGCCTCTAAGACCCGCCTCACCTCCGAGGCTCCGACATAAAGGTTCGACGCCCCGCCTCCGACTCGACTCCAATTTCAGATTTAAAAAAAAAAAAATGTTCAATGCTATCGTGTATTAGTATGTAATTAGATGTTAAGAACTTAAGATGTTGAAATTGAAATATATTTCTTGTGATTTGAATTGCTGTGGAATTTGGTATGACTGGGAGTTAGGATGGATTTATGTTTAGGAATTAGGATAAATTGCTGTGTTGTTATCTTGAGTTAGGATGGATTTGGTATGGCTTAAAAGGAAGATGAATTGCTGTGCTGTGCATATGTAACTTTTCAGTTGTTTTTTTTTTCTTTTTCTTTTTCTGTTGTGAAGCAGCAATCTGCTGCAACTGTGTTGCTAAATTGCAACAATGGAGCAAAAAACATAGGTCAAGGCGGGTCGAACTGGGTCAGGCACGGGCCACAGGTCAGGTCGGGCCGACCTGCCCCAAAACGGGTCAGGGCACGGGTCCGATCTGTTGGACCCGTCACGGGTCACGGGCCAGGTCGGGTCCACAGGGCAAAAACACGGGCCAGGTCTGGGTACGTAGGTACCCGGCCCGACCTGGCCCATTGCCATCCCTACGTAGTGCTATGATTAATTGTGTTTTAGTGCTATTTTTAACATGGATCTATTTTCTTAAAAATAGCAACACAATTTATATTAACATTTGTTAAAATGATAGCACCATGTGATATTAAAAATAGCATTATGCACAATAAAAAATAACATCAAATACGGTTCTCACACCAGGAATAGTTTTTATTTGAACCACTCCATATATATATATATATATATATATATATATATATTGGTAACGCAAAACACTCCGACTGACTTGAAATCGGCTCGTCTTCCTCCTCCTCGCCGGAAGAACGCCGTGCACCTGCACAGAACTCTCACACCGGAGGGGTTTTCCGGTGAAGAGCCTCCGATGTTTAAGTCAGTGTATACTCTATTCAATTCTCCAAAGTATGTAATGGATAAATCATAAGTCACAAGAAAAGACTCACTCTTATATATATAGGAGTGAGGTACCTGCCCTAGGAACTGCCCGGATCTGGTGAGCTGTCCTGCCCGTACTGCCCGTCCGTACGCACACAGTATATGTGTGTCATAGGCATCAGAGGTGGTTATCACCACTCTTGCTCTGCACCAATGTATTCTCGCCACGTGTCCCTCTGAGCAGAGGGAGATTATTCTCTGCGCATCCCGTTAGGATCTTCTAACGCCGCCCACGCGCTTTCTCGCGTTCAAGCCATGCTCTCGACTGCTCTTCACCTATTGAGTGCTCGATCTGACCAAGTCCCCCGTCGCTAGGTCGATCCTCGACCAGTTCTGCTATCCTGCTTGATCTTTTTCCCTTTTGGTCGATTATCCCTCGACCCATACAGTTTTCTCTACCTCGAGCTTGCCCGACCAATGTAATAAACCGGTCTATTCTTTAGCTATATAATATCCCATATCATCTAGTCCCCCCCACTTTGGTCGAGTCTAAATGACTCGATCTAAGAGTGAATTCGAGCTGTCTTCTCCGTTCTGCCACCCTCTCGGCCTCCTGCTTACATTTGATCTTCTCTCTCGATCGTTTCGGTTGCGGCCGCCACCATTCTTCGACCACGTGATCGATTTTATAGTGCGCTTTAAATGTCTTCCATTTCCTTTTATTGTTAGCGTAATTTCCGCCTGCCATATGTCCTTTCCGCTCAGTACCTTTAATCATCATGCCCCCTCGCGATTTGTGCCGCTTCGCTATCTGTGCCTCTTTAATATCTTCCCACCGTTGGATCTCCTTTTATCTAACGACTATCCCCATTAACTCTTCACCTTATTCTTCTGCCCTCTTATAAATACGGTACTTAGTAAATTTTCCGACTTTTTTTTTCACTTTTGCAAATTTCGAACTCCCTTGTGCCCTGATTTCTTCCTCTGCAAACTGTTCTCTCCTGCTCTCGGCGCCTTTTCTTCAAGCAATTTCCGGCAACCGCTCTCTACTGCAACCATGAGTAAGCTCCTGTGCTTTAATTTTATGTTTGCCTGTGTTTATTACTTTAATTTTGTGTTTGCGTGTGTTTATTTTGTCAATTTTTGTTTTTTTTTTCCTGTTGCTTCTTCCTTTCCCCGAAACCTTCTCGTTTCATCTGTGGAAAAAACCCCCTTCTTCACCTTCCGAAACCCTAACTTTTCTTCTTTCCCTCTCAATTTTCCATTCTACTTTTCAGATTCCGTTGATTCTAACGCACAAAGTCATCACTCTGGTGAAGATGAGACCGCCGCATCCTCATTCCCTACTCATCAGCCTATCCTTCACTCGCCTTCCCGCTCTGTCGAAGAAATCTACAATCCCACTCCTCTCAGTGCCATACGCTCTTATGATTGTATAACCCCTTCTCCTCCTCGCCAACCTAATCATATGATTGACGAATCAGACGAGGATGCCCTCGACCACATCTCCCTCAATCGCCGTCGACCGGCGCTTTGGGGCTTCTGGCGCCGCTGAGGAGGCTCTCGATGCTGCTGAGGCCGCTGCTGAGAAGGATGAAGATAATGCTCCCCTTTCTCCCCATTCTGTTTTTGCTAGAGTCGCTTCTTCCACTAATCCTAAGAAGGGCGCTAAAAAATCCTCGACTGCCGCTACACCCCTTGCATCTCCGGCTGCCCCTGTCGCTACCTCTCGCAAGGCTACCCCGAAGAAGGGTAAGTCGATCAAAGTGTCTTCTTCTAAGAAGACTTCTTCTTCCTCTCGCTCTCTTATAGCTGGTTGGCTGGATGCCGATGAAGTTGGCTATCCCCCCAGCTGGGTTTTCGTATCTCCAGGCCCTCGGGATACCTATGATAACCTCCTTAGAACTGCTACGCTTTATTTGAAATTCAATTTAAACTCGGCGTCCGTTTTCCCTTAAACCAACTCCCCCCTAATGCCATCCGTTTTATCAGTGTCTTCATCATTCTATGCCACATTTGTCTAGGTCGGCTCGACCTAGATTTCTTCCATTATTGCTATACACCCTCGAACCATACTCAAGGGCTCTATCTCAAGAGCCGCAACGATGTCCATTTTATTTCGGACACTCATTCAAACGTCCCCAAGTGGAAAGATAAATTCGCCTTTGTAGAGCCCAAACCCGTTTTCCCTTGGGCGCCACCGCCTTGGCTTAAAGAACTCCCACGGGAGTATTCAACACCTTCAACCAACGCACTCTTCGGCTAACGGATTGCAGTATGGAATAGCAAGCCCGTTGCGTCGAAGACCTTGCTCGAGGATGAGGACCTCCTGCATTTCTGTGGACTTCTTACCCACAAATCTTGTCCTCTCCCTAGCCAGAAAACTTTCGATCTCATCCGGATCGAGGATGACCCAGGTATGTGTTTTCACTGAACAGGCTCGAGCATCATCATGTTTGTTTCACATATTGTTTATCTATTGCGGCTTTAACTTGTTCGTAATTTTTTGCAGAGATGCCCGCTATCTCTGTGCCTAGGAGGAAAGCTCCATTGAGAAGGAAGCAGACCGTCGAGGGGTCAAGCTCAAAGCCCGCTGACTCGACCACCTCCCAGTCCGCCCGCTCGACTTCACCGCCTCCAGAAGTGACCTTCGAGCAACCATCTTCGACCAACCTTCAAGCTAACCAGCAACCCGAACAGCTCGAGAAACCAGCATCTCCTCCGCCACACTCTCTTCCGCACGACCAGACCACCCCGGTCATCCACATTCCCGCTTCTCCCGAGAAAACTCTGCTCGAGGAGAATCGACTTAAGCGTCCCTCTGCTGAGGGGGACGAAAACGCTGGCAAGCATCGTCGTCTTGAGGAGACTGCACTTTCAATCACTACACTTGACGGTGTGGGATTCTCGCATTTCGTACGGGATATTGTTCCTCCGGTCAACCATCCTACCGACTGCTACAATGACGGTCATACCCTTCGAGATCGGGGCAATCGAATTGTCCGATGGCTGGCTCAGGTAACCTACTATAATTTAATGTTTATCTTTTTTACTCCACTTCCTCCCCTCGTTGGTGCTCTAACACTTTCTTTTATGTGCTCTTGTAGGGAATGGTCGAGCTTGCGCCTCTGATCGAGCAGACGTTAGCTAGCCCGAGCCGTTTCATCCTAGCGATCGAGCGAGGCAATCTTCAGCTCGGCAATCGGTTGGATGAGATGGTTGTCAAGAGCAATGCTCTTCATGAAAGGCTGAAGGAGTCGGCTGCCCGAAATAAGGTCCTCTCCGCCGAGAAGGAAACGCTTGAGGGGGCCTTGAAATCCTTCGAGGAGGCCCTCGTAGCTGAGCTAGCAGAGAAAGAGGCCCTCCTAGCTTCCCAAAAAGCTCTCGAGGCTGCACTCGAGGAGGAGAAGTCAGCTCGGGCACGTGAAAACGTTGCTTTCGAGCAGAGGGCTAAGCCCTTGATCGACGAGGCTGCCCTTCGGGCGCGGAGAATGGTCTTCCACACGACCGCTGGTCAACACTTCCTGCAGAACTACCGCGAACAAGTGGTGGCTGCCTTCAAGCAGTCGCCACAGTATCTAAAGGACGTGCAGGATTATGGCACCCAATGATTTGGGGCCATAATACAACAGCCGGGGGTCCAGATAGCCGAAGACGATTTCGAGGAGTTCAACATGGAAACCATCTGGGCTGCTATGCCCAAGGCTCCAGTCGGCTATCAGAGTGCTCTCGACCTGCCCGACGACCACGACTGGTGGTCAGGCCTGCTCGAGCTTGTCGTGAATCAACACGACCTGCTGAGGCGTACCTTCAAGCTCCCTGACGGATATATTCCCCCACTCGCTCGTCAAAATCAGTCCACCGATGGGACTGGGTCGACCTCTAGCTCAAGTCAGTCGATTGAGCCAGTGGGGCAGCAGCTCGAGCTGCCGCTAGAACAGACCCCTAATGAGTCCGATGCTAATGTTGACTCGAATAATGCTGCCTCGTGAAATTGTAATTTTAATCTTTGCTGAACTTTGTACTCCTTTCTCGCTAAATGAATATCGTTCTTGTTGAAGTTTGTGAATTCTCGTTATTTCTCGATTATTTGCCTGTCGATGTATCACTTTATATGATGTTTTAGTTATC